AGTATACTTTTCCTCATGATTGCACACATGGGGGCTGGGGCAGAATTGGGGCTCATATATTTGAAAGAACAAATGAACAAATGGGATGTTGACGCAGTACTTGTGCCTCTCTCGTTTTCATGGTGGGGTGAATCTTACATTTGATATGCATTGGGGAAAACTGTCAGGTCTGAAACTTATTGATACGGAGAACTTAAAGGGAATTACACAAATGTCATTTGGCTATATAATATTCATCAGAATTTATCTTCTGCAACCAAGATGTTTGTAATGTCAGATCACACTGTTCAAGGTGTATTTGATTTATACACCTTGCAGAGTGTTCAATACATCTCTGAGTCACAGCTGTTAGTGCAATTTTCTAAATGAACAAGGACATGAGATGCATTGATTTCACTGGCGTCCCCTCAGATGGAGAACTGGCCAATAAAATGGCTCTCAAGGGGGCAAACTCTGAAATTTCCCCTGAAATTTTTATTTCCATCTTTACACAATTAGAAGAGAGAAGCCACTCCTAGTGCAGCAAACCCATGCCCAAAGGGCTCCACGGCTTTGTGTGTGGTCCTCACTGCCTAACGTCAGTCTGTTTTGTGCTGCTACCACAGACTGGATAATTCATAATGAACAGAAGCTTCTTATAATTCTAAAGTGCTGAGGGCATTCTTGCTGTGTCATCCCATGGCAGAAGGGCAAAAAGGCTAGCTGCCAGCGTTTTTTAGGACTTGAGCCTTGGAACAAGGGTCCTGCAAATGTTTACTCATTTCTCCCTATTCCAGAGCTTGTCCCACTGTGAACTCATCACAGATGATGGGATCCTGCACCTGAGCAACAGCGCCTGTGGCCACGAGAGGCTGCGGGTCCTGGAGCTGGACAACTGCCTCCTCATCACTGATGTGGCCCTGGAACACCTAGAGAACTGCCGAGGCCTGGAGCGCCTTGAGCTGTATGACTGCCAGCAGGTTACCCGTGCAGGCATCAAGCGGATGCGGGTAGGTGTGGGGCAGGGGAGTCAGTCACACCTGACATTTCTAAGCAACAAAGGAAAACATCAAGAATCAGGCCAGGTGCAGTGGCTCATGCCTATAATCCCAACACTTGAAAGCCAAGGTGGGTAGATCATTTGAGGTCAGAAAAGACCAGCCTGGCCAAAATGGTGAAACCCCATTTCTGTTAAAAAAAAATTACAAAAATTAGCCAGGCGTGGTGGTGGGCACCTGTAATCCCAGCTACTTGGGAGGCAGGGGTAGAATCACGAACCTGGGAGTCAGACATTGCCCAGATCGCACCACTGCACTCCAGCCTGGGCCATAGAGTGAGACTCTTAAAAAA